TGATATGATGCAATTACTTTATTGTTATTTATAAACTGATAAAACATTGCTCATCTTAAATGTTTTATTTCTGTATGCACTAATTATGCTTATCATACCTTTTTCTCTAGAATAATTAGTTTTTAAAAGAATAGTATCTGTTATGCCACTAGAGGGGGCTAAAAGTTTTTGTTATAATAGATTTACCTTGAACTGTTTTCATTTATAATATTTATGTAAACCGCATTTATCATAAAGAAAATTATTATTGTTGAATTGAAATGAATTATAGTTATTGTGGATGTATTGTATTGTCTTTGATTTTTATTACGCAGTAATACTTGTACTTGTTAAGCTTATACAGGGTGACTGGTGAATTACTATCGATATTTGAGGACGTGATATTTGACGATCATATATAACAAAATAAAAATTAATATAACATAAATATTAATAAACTTCTAAGTAAAGTTAACCAAAAGTTATGTAATTAATTACGCATCGTATGAACACCCTACAGATTAGGTATACACACACTCACACAGACGCGGCGGTGGCGTAGTGTTGTATCAGCACGCCGCCGCACGCGTCCACACTTGGAACACTTGGAACGTGTACACACTTTATTTATTTATACGGAAATTTGGTCAAAAATTAAGTACCTATTTTTTTTACATAATTCGAATGAGAATCGTGTACCGAGTATGCTCCTTAAATATTGATAGTAATTCACCAGTCACCCTGTATATATGAAGATAATAACACTTTGGGACTCCGTATATACATCCTTCAAATGAGTTTGTTATAAACACAAAACATAATATATAACACGAGTAAATATAATCTTCAAATTCAAAGTCTTAAGCTATCAATTAAATACTAAAGTGTGTGTACATGATGTGACTCATATGATGTATTATTCTGTGACTTATCTTTCATACTATTAATATTTGTATACATACAAACGTAGAAAATGTCGGATTGTTTAGAAAATTTATTAAAGGTATTTTATTCATGCCTCGCTACTTCTCGATTCGTATATTTGAATCTGACTGTTATTGTGACATAATAACTAAGGCCAATATGACATTTAAAAGTACAAATTTGCAATATTTCTAAAGGGATCGTGTATCCGGAGGTAATGCATTAGCATTGATAATCGATTTCTTAACTGTTTTCCATAGAATAGCTGTCAGTTAGTTGGTGTTAGGTTAATGTTCGAGTGTCGCCAGTCCCCGGGCGGTCAATGACCCCGGCCACTGAACAGCAACCTGCTGCTGTACTGTAACCGGAGCGTGGGCCCGAGCCACCACCCACTGACCACTCGTGTCATACATCTGGATGGCACTTTTAATAATGGAAACAATATACCATACAACATCATGTCTACAATATAATATATTTATTTTCATTCACATGCATAATTTAACGGACCTAGACGGTAATTTTTAAAATGCGCTCGCTAATTTTAAAGTGCGTTGTGCTAATAGAGCTCACGGTTCCTTCGGAAACCAAAATTTCGAAAGACCATGTGATCAAGGTCAACAAGTGTTACAAGCTCACTAACGAACTCACTAAGAATAGGTTCGTGGTTAATTTGTACGCTATAGAAGTGGGAGGACAGGTATGACAACCAAATCTCTCTACAACCTACTAAAAGACTTGAGCCTATCCAGAACTAATATCAGATCATCGGAACGTGCGTCGTAGGCAGCCTTTGTAGGTTCGTTTCAATTTTGGTTAGGTTTTGAGAGGAGCTTAGAGCATTTAAAGCGCGTTAGATAGGGGTCTCTTGAAGCTCCTCTCCCTGCAACGCGATAGACCTAATGGCCACACAGCGAATCTATGGAACACTAACAAGTTTGTTTTCATATCAATAGACGCATCGTTTTCCCTAGTGGCTCTCACCGGCTTGTATGTAGTAGGTCTCAGCTCCCCCGCGGCCCGGAGGTCGCTGGCCGCCACCAACCGCAGCATCGACTCATACTGACACGCTTCCTGAACGATATTTAACAGCGATTTAGGAAAACCATATATTTGTTCTATGCATATAATTAAACAATGTATATTTCAATATTTTAGAGTATTACCTTATACGTAGATATAGCTTCATCAGTATCTCCTAGTCCTATATCAATTTGTTCAGCCTTTCTAAAGTGCCCATCCTGTCGTAATTGTTGAGCGAGTGGTCAGTAAATATCTCTCGTGCCTTCTTCTGCCAGATGTGTAGCGGCAACACGTAGACCTTCCGACACTTTGCCCGCGGCGTTGTACGCTCCTACACATTTCTCCGCCATACCACAGGATATAAGAACTCGTTCCGCTGTATCCCATTCCTGTAAATGTTTGCAAAAAAGATATTAATTGACATATGAAACCTACTAGAATAAAATAAAAATCGACCCAAACTTTGAATTCTAAAAATTTAATAAATTGATCGTGACGTTAAATCCGTGTGTAAAAGAAGAAATGAATAATTGAAAACATATTCGTTTACACCCTCATTGGATGTTTACATTTATATTTTTGTAACTATACACAATAACTAATACGGAATGAACAAAATCGAATTACGTTATTATAACAATTATAAAAAAAATAATAACAACATATTTCTTTTGTTCATTATTTAAAATAACTTATTGAGAAGATATAAAATGATCCCCCAACTGTTCACATTGCTCCCGAATTGATTCTTTATCTTCTATAACCTAAAGATATCAATGGATTGATTTACAATATATATATATATATATATATATATATATATAAAAACAAAACCTATAGCAAATATGTTATACATATCTTTAAATGAGCAATTCTTGCATATATATTATGGGTATCTCGGTATCGGCTCAAACGATGGAGATAAATCGATCTAGCTAGGAATCATTATCATCATTAATCATTTAGAAAATGTTATTTTACGTAAAAAAGAATAACAAAAATTAGTCGTTTTAAATATGACTTTCCCTGACATCTAGTGGCGAATAGTGATACTACTTTTTGCTACTTGCTTTTACTAATTGCTTTAACGACAAAACAGCAGATGGCGTTGTTGATTACCAGGAAGTCAACGAATGTTTGCTTTAAGGTTAAGGTTATTTTCTGTCTTCTTATCGTGTTGAATTAAAAATGCCTAAACGAAATTAAAAAAAACACAAAATAAATACTGATGAATCCTTAATACCCAGCAAAGTTCAGTAACCAGTTATTATTAATAATACCTGTACAATTTGAAGAGCTTTTTTATAATGATGTGCCTTCAGAGCCGCAGTGAGAGCATCAACGGTTCGAGCAGCCTCTATGAGATGACGTACATCGGCGCCCGCGATGATACAAGCCACGCGCCCCACTCTCCTTCCAACCTGGTCACTTCACCGGGACAGGCCTGAAGAACAACAAATGATATAATAAAAATCAAAAACATAATTTCTAATAAACAACACTGACTTCTCTTGCTAGTTGAACGGCTCTTGCGTAGTTGTTGCCTCTAGAATAGTAATTGTTAGATAATGTGAACGCAACCTTAATTAATTTCTTTATGTTGTATATATCGGCGCTACCAGCTTTAATAACGGATGCGACTTGAAAATAATTTAAGGCTATCATCAATTCTTATTAAACCTCATTAGTATTTATGATTATTGTTAAAAGTAAAACGAAATCAAAGGAGAATAGAATTATGTTTGAATCTTGTAAAAAATATGACGTCTGGACTCACGACGGCAGACTCCAGGATTCATAATTCAGAGTTCAGTGAGCGTGTATCATAGAAGCATGTTATTATGAAGAATCTTTGAGAAATACAGGAGCATTAAGATCAATTGCAGTTTCATTTTAAAATATCATCGAATGCTCTAGAAGAAGTGATATTTGTAACGACAGCGAGGCTGGCGTCCCTCTCTCTTTAAAACAACGAATCTGTAATAAATCTGATATATATCCTTTTTGCTGTTATGTTGACATTACTTTTTTCACTTCTTTAAATGGTGTCTCTAACTAATTTTTCTATTAATTGAATAAATACGTTTTGTGCATTTTTATATCCGACAAGTTTTATTTCTGAATCATCCACAAATATCAACATGGTAGCAGAGCGTGGTTGATAAAAATAAAACGAGAAAAAGGAAAATAGTATAAAAACCGGCCGGCGTATTTGTTCAGTCCGCCATTTTGAGATTACACGTAATCGAAATCGAAATTGAACTGGAGCGGCGTGTGTTCAGAAATAAATTAGTTAAATACTGCCGAAACATCATTATTTCTACGCGAAAAAGATGTCCAGTACAGGCCACAACTCTTTCAACATTGATAGACTTATCGGAAGAGAGAATTACGCTAGTTGGAAATTCGCCGTGGGAGCTTATTTCAAACTAGAAGATTTGTGGAGTTGTGTTGATGGCACCAATACAGACAAAAGAAAGGAAGTGAATGCGAAATCGAAGCTCATTTTACTTCTAGATCCGATCAATTATGTACACGTGCAGAGCGCTGAAACTTGTAAAGAAGCTTGGAACAACCTACAACAGGCTTTTGATGACAGCGGATTGTATAGGAGAGTAGCTTTACTGCGAGATCTGATCACAACTACTTTGGAAAGTTGCCGAAGCGTAGATGATTACGTTAACAAAATAATGTCAAACGCACACAAACTCAGAAATATTAAATTTCATATTGATGATGAATGGCTTGGAACGCTGATGTTAGCAGGTTTACCGTTAACGTATAAACCTATGATTATGGGCTTGGAGAGCTCCGGATTAAAAATCAGCGCCGATTCTATCAAAACTAAACTCCTGCAGGAAGTTCAATGCTCAGAGAGTACAGCATTCTTCACTAGGAAAATAGCAATCCAAGGACATCACAGCAATACAAAAGTTCAATACAAAGGGCCCCGTTGTTTCAATTGTAACAAGCATGGACATTTAGCCAAGAATTGTCGTGCTCAGAAGAAGAAAAATAAAGAAAAGTCAGATGAAAAAAGGAGTTTTGTTGCAGCATTTTCAGCATCTTCTACTATGACTCCGGACCTGTGGTATGTGGACTCGGGTGCTTCTATGCATATGACGAACAGAAAGGACTGGATGTATGATGTAACAAGTCCACCGATACCCTCCATAACTGTTGCTAGTAAGACACCACTGCCAGTTGAAAGTATGGGAAATGTTAATTTATTCTTAAATGGTAATAAACAAGACAAGATTCAGGTAAGACGAGTATTATACATTCCTAAACTTGCTGCCAATCTCTTCTCAGTAAGTGCTATGGTGAAAAGTGGCTGTAAAGTAAATTTCACAGACAAGAGTTGTAATATTTATGATAATAATGGAATGTTCCTGTGTTCAGCCAGTCTAGTAAACAATCTGTATCAAATAAATACTCACCGAGAAGTTTTTTCAAACCTGACATGTACAAATAACTTAAATGATATTGTTCTATGGCATAGGCGCATGGGGCATCTGAACTTTACAGATGTGAAGAAGTTGCCGGAGTGTGCAGAGGGAGTCAATGTGTTTCCAAACGAAAGCATCAGTAACATCACATGCACCACCTGCCTTGAAGGTAAACAAAGCAGACTGCCTTTTAATAACATTGGATCCAGAGCTTCACACCCATTGCAACTCATCCACACAGACTTATGTGGACCGATGGAACAAGCATCACTGGGAGGTATGAAATATTTTATTACCTTTATTGATGACTTTACAAGAAAGGTACATATATATTTTTTGAAAGACAAAATGAGTGTACTCGAAGCGTTCAAAGATTTCAAAAATAAAGCAGAGAATGAGCTTGATAGGAAGATAAAGATTGTTCGGTCAGACAATGGTAAAGAATATTGTAACAAAGAATTTGATATTTTCTTGAGTAGATATGGAATTGAACATCAAACGAGTACTCCGTATTCACCTCAACAAAATGGCCTTGCAGAGAGGATGAATAGGACATTAGTGGAAAGAGCAAAATGTATGTTGTTTGATGCCCAATTGTCAAAGAAATTGTGGGGAGAGGCTTTAGCAACAGCGGCTTATATTATTAATAGGTCACCCACCAAGTCAATTGATGGAAAAACTCCTATAGAGATGTGGTCCGGTAAGAAACCTAATTTGAAAGATATGAGAATTTTTGGCTCAGAAGTAATGACTCAAATACCTAAAGAGAAACGCCAAAAATGGGATTCTAAATCTCGAAAACTTATTTTTGTGGGATACTGTGAATCTAGCAAAGGATACCGGCTATTTGATTCAACAACAAATAAAATTATCAAGAGTAGACAAGTGGTATTTTTAGAAAATGTTCAAAAATTCGACACTAATGTTTACATACCTTCTGTATCAAACAGCGGTCCTGAAGAGCTGTCACCTGAAGAGCCGTGCAAAGAAGAATCTGTAAATACCTTAGAAAACTCTTCAAGTGATGAATACCTTTCCGATGACAATGATGATCCAGCCTACATACCCGAGCGTTCAGTGGAGACACCAGTACGTAATATTAATTTGCGCCCACGTAGAGCTGTCCAGTATGCAGAGAAAGATGACCATGATGTAAGTTTCTTTTGCCCTATTCTTGATTTAAATGATCCTCAAACTGTTGATGAAGCTCTTTCATCTCTAAGTGCTGATCAGTGGAAAAATGCGATACAAGAAGAATATGGTTCTCTAATAAAGAATAAAACTTGGTCATTGGTTGATTTACCAGCCGGACGTAAAGCCTTGCCATGTAAATGGGTGTATAAGAGTAAAACAAATGAAAATGGTAAAATTATTCATTATAAGGCTCGATTAGTCATAAAAGGATGTGCTCAAAAGAAGGGAATTAACTTTGATGAGGTGTATGCACCAGTTGTAAGATATAAATATAGTTGTAAATATGATCTAGAAATGACTCAGATGAATGCTATAAGTTCATTTCTTCAAGGTGATATAGACACTGAAATCTACATGGCACAACCAGAATGTTTTCAAGAAAGTGCTAAGGTATGTCTTCTGCAAAAATCAATCTATGGGCTTAAGCAAGCAAGCCGACAATGGAACATAAAGTTAAATAATGTTCTATTTAGAATAGGTTTGGAAAGATCAAAAATGGATCCATGTGTCTATTATTCTGTAAATACCTTAAAAATTATATTCATTGCAGTCTGGGTTGATGATTCTTTGATATTTTCAAATGATAAAAACACAGCAACAGAAATTGAGGATAAGTTAAAAGAAGAACTATGCATGAAAGATCTGGGTGAATTGAAGCAGTTTAGCTTTAATGTAAATAGAAATAGCTTTAATGTAAATAGAAATAGAGACACAGGTGAGATAATGATAGACCAAGAGAAATATATTAACCTAGTGTTGAATCGGTTTAATATAACTGATTGCAAACCAGTGCAACATTGGCTTGGAGTAAAGCGAGTCCTCAGATATCTTCAAGGAACCAAACACCTGAAGCTGTATTATATGAAGGAAGACTCCAAAGAGATAACTGGATATTGTGATTCAGACTGGGCCAGTGACACGGTAGATAGAAAATCGTGCACAGGTTATGTTTTTATTTTACAAAATGCATGCATTTCTTGGAATACCTGTAAACAACAGACTGTAGCCCTATCTACAGCAGAGGCCGAATATATGGCGATGGCGTCGGCGACCCAGGAAGCTCTGTGGCTTCGACAGCTACAAGCTGAACTCAAGCAAGGTTCAGACAATGAGTTGCTCATATATAGTGATAACCAAAGTGCAATACAATTAGCATCAACAGATTGTTATAAACCTAAAACTAAACACATAGATATTAGATTACATTTTCTTAGAGATAATATTGTTAAACGTAAGGTTAAATTTAAGTTTATAAATGGTTGTAATATGGTTGCCGACAGTTTAACTAAAGGTGTAACTATTGAGAAACATTTATATTGTTTAAAAGAAATGGGTTTGCGTTCTGGAGGGAGTGTTAGATAATGTGAACGCAACCTTAATCAATTTCTTTATGTTGTATATCCTTTTTGCTGTTATGTTGACATTACTTTTTTCACTTCTTTAAATGGTGTCTCTAACTAATTTTTCTATTAATTGAATAAATACGTTTTGTGCATTTTTATATCCGACAAGTTTTATTTCTGAATCATCCACAAATATCAACAGTAATCAACAGCAGTTCTTATATCACCTTTACGCTCGGATATTTCACCAGCCATTTCCCACCATTCCTCCTACAAAGGAAACAAATTGTAAAGTTCATAATCTATGTCTCTAATTAGTGAATCTTAACTTTTTAAAAGGTATAGTAATATACAGGAGTTACAGTATAAGAATAAATATTAATGTTTGAGACAGTTATATTAAAAAAATATACTTCTGCTATTCTTTGTTAGTTAAATGCATAACCCTCGTCTTTAACTTGCATCATTCACATTTACATTATCTCTTCAATAGTATAATTAATAATACTAAATCAAAAACAAACGCTCATTGGTCATTTGCGTATGTATTAAGACCTACAACGAATTGAGCAGGATCTTTCATTACGACAACAAGACTATCCTTAGTGAGACCAACAAGCGGTATCCCCACAAATGGGTACACACTTCACTGGCATTTTTATTTAGCTATCTGATAATAGAGCCATTTCCTTCCCTATTTTTTTTATCTATCTGATGATGCAACCTTCACCTGTACTAGTTGATGGGTGGCAGCTCGTCTCGCCGACCACCCTTCACCCACACACGAACCGCGCCTCGCACGTCACCTGACGACCTGTACCAACAAAATAATACTTTACTAGGGCAAATAGATTATTAGTGTTATTCTAACGAAGATAATATATATATCAATTAAAACTGATATAAGATTTTACAAATATTTTTTTGCGGCGCGGAAAATTTTTATCAATCTTAAATTATATTTTGAACAGTTATAATTTTTGCACCTGTTGACGTGAGATAGTCCATGTATTGCTGCCTGAGTAATGTCACCGCTTGTCTATCGACTTGTTCAGCGAGGGCGATGGCATCTGCCCATCTACTGAACTGCTTATACATATTAATGGCCAATTCTGGCTGAGCGGCTCCACGTACGTAGTATTCTTCGGCGGTGGTTAAGTGTCCCACAAATATTGCTAGACGTGCACGAACATCGGGACTGTTTAAACCTATGCATTATATTATAATCACGATTAATAAAATAAATACTATTAATACAATAAGTGCGTACTTAAAGAAACAGATATATGAGGTGTTCCCGAAACGTTTAAATGCAAAAAATACCTTCATCAATATTCCCGTCCCCTTTGGCTGAAGCCAACTCGACAGCTTTCTCTAGATAAAATGTTCTAGCCTCATCACCTACTGCTTTATAGCATTTCGTCGCCAACTGAAAAAAATATATCTGTTATGAGGTACTAAAACGTTTAAATGTTATAATATATATATTAGTCTTTCTCTAATTTGAGCAGTGAGTAATATACAACCACAACCGAATGGCTAACATTTAACCAAACATTACTGATTTTCGGTGTCAGGGTTGGCCAATCTACTTGAACCTAACATTAATGTAATTAAACCAATAATAAATGTAAGTAGTTATCCTAAAACCATTGGACAATCTTTATTTCTATCATATATACATGGTGGCTCATAGGTAATGTCGATTCATATGTAAAAATAATTTTCTGTTTGTTTGTTGATGAAGGACTAGGTTTTGATAAAATAGTGGACAGGTGATGCGAATGTATGAGGTTTTGTTGAAGAAATATTCATGTTACCGAAACCGGTTTTTTTTTCAAGACAATTCTAAACCATAAATGACGAAAATAACGCGGAATACGATCAAAGAACTTGGTGATGCTAAATTCCTACCACATCCGAAACTCAGTTCAGACTTTACACTTGAGATCTATGGCGAGATTCTTTTGTACAAAATAATTTGTATCCAACAGATGTTATTAAAGCAGCGCGACATTTTTTTTTGCATTTAAGGTCAAAAAACTGTTTAACCTAAGAGCTTACTGCTCTTTGGGATAAAAACCATTAAATATGAGGAGCTATACATCTCATAGTAAGTCTATTTTATTACATTATATATTAAAAAGTGAACACTGAAAATCGACATTATTTATGAGACATCCACTGTACTTATGTCCTCTGTACTTGAATACAAATTCACATAAAGCAAATATCGTGAAAAACTTATTAAAAATTAGTAGGATGTTTTCAATGTGTTTGGCAACGAGGCCTTTACAAACTTCTGTTTATATTTAATCTAACTGTAATGTCATACATATTAACCTCAACATCGTATCCTGTTAGCGCCTGTTCAGCCAGTTGACACCACAACGACCCGACGTCCGCAGACCTTGACACAGCGTCCAAGTATTGAGCACAATCCTTTAAGTCCCCGCTACGTAACGCCGAATCTATTCAAAATAAATAGTAATTTCCATTTAATATTCCATATAAAGTAACAATATAGCGATCGATGAAAAGACAACCAAATAGCGCTTAGAACATTAAATCAGTCCTGTTATAATAAAATCGTTCATTTATTGTCTTATACCAAAAAAAAAATGGCTTAAAAGTGCTCTGTATTATTCTATAAGTTAATCTGTCCAAAAAGTTACAATAGCAACACACTGAATCTTGCTGTGTTGATAGTGTGCACCAGATTAACATTATCCTACTATGAACTTTAAATTTAAACGTCGTCTATATAAAAACTTCACAGTAATCATTTCAAACAATATAAAAATAAATGAAAAGAATGTTTCGGTTACTTTACAGCACGGGCAGACTGGATGTATTTCATTTAAATGAATAAATAACTCGAGGAAGTATTAGATCTCATTAATCCTACTAATATCATAATTGTGAAAGTTTGTAAGTGTTTGTGTATGTTTGTTACTTCTTCGCGCTCAAACGGTTGAACCGATTTTGATAGAATTTTGTATACAGGAAGCTGACATCCAGGAATAACATATAGGCTACTTTACATCCCGGAAATCCGCGGGTAAAACCGCGGGGCGCAGCTAGTATGAAATAATGTCAATACTGTAAAGGGTTCATACTGAAAGCCAGTCGATGTTCATCCAATACAATGGCCTGGATCTGAGCTCCTTCCAGTAGGACTCGTCGCTCTGATACTGATACAGCCGAGACTGATACACACTCAGACATGACAACACACTGAGGCTCCCATACACTGTACCTGTAACACATACAAACAAACATATATATGTAGGAACAACCTTATGACCCATGTATATCTTACTGTATGTAACATAAAGACATAATGAGTAAAAACTAGGATTAATTTACAGGAATATTTTGATATGTTCTCACCCAAAATAAGAAATCAATATGGATCATTTAAACATTGCCAACGATACATTATTTTAAATTAGAAGATTTATTATATTCAGATAAATGTTGTACACATAATAAGTTACTTTTATCTACGTGGAGTACGTTTTCAAAAGTTTTAATACAATCATTAATCTCCACATCACAATCCCACAATTAATAATGAAAAAGATATTTCAACATGATGTTATAATTTGGGTA